AAAAAAAAAAAAAAAAACCGTAAAGTTTAAACTTTAGCAAAATGTGCTGCAAGCTGTGACATGGATGAATCTTGAGGACATCACGCTCAGTGAGAGAGAAGCCACGGGAGTCTCAGTGAGACACGAAGGGCCACCCAGCGTGTGATCTCATTTCTATGAAATGTCCGGGGCAGACTCATCCACAGAGACAGGAAGGGGATAACGGGCCTGTCAGAAATAGGGGAGGACATGGGGAGTGACTGTTGATGGAGACAGGGCTTTCTCTGGGGGTGATGGAATGTTCTGGAATTAGAGGTGATGGTTGCACAGCTTTTTTTTTTTTTCTTCCTGAGACAGACTCTCACTCTGTCTTCCAGGCTGGAGCGCAGTGGTGCAATCTTGGCTCACTGCAACCTCCACCTCCTGGGTTCAAGAGCTTCTCCTGCCTCAGCCGCCCAAGTAGCTGGAATTACAGGCATGCACCACCACGCCCAGCTATTTTTGTATTTTTAGTAGCAATGGGGTTTCACCGTGTTGGCCAGGCTGGTCTCGAACTCCTGGTCTCAAACCATCCGCCTGCCTTGGCCTCCTTAAGTGCTGGAATTACAGCCGTGGGCCACCGTGCCCAGCCCACACAGCTTTTTGAATGTACTAAAACCACTGAATTGTATACTGGAATTTTTTAAAAGTAAAAAATCTGCTACAAAATGGTATTTTCCAGGCCTGCCTAGAAATGAGAAGCTCTAAATTTCCTGGCACATCTCCTGTGCCAGGAAAGGGTGAAACGGTCTGGCGGGGGTTCAGGGTTGGCAGTATCAGTTTGTCTGATCCAGGGCGACCGTAACAAAGCACCAGAGAGTGGATGGGGTGAGGTGGCTCTCGCCTGTGATCCCAGCACTTTGGGAGGCTGAGGCGGGAGGATCATTTGAGCCCAGGAGTTTGAGACCGGCCTGGGGAACAAGGTGACACCCCCATCTCTACAAAAAATACAAAATTAGCTGGGTGTGGTGGCACGCACCTGTGGTCCCAGCTACTTGGGACGCGGAGGTGGGAAGATTGGTTGAGCCCAGGAGGCGCAGGCTGCAGTGAGCTGTGTTCGTGTCTCTGAGCTCCAGCCTGGGCGACAGAGCAAGATCCTGTCACAACCGCAAAGAAACAGCTGGACACAGTGGCATATGCCTGTAATCCTAGCACTTGGAGAGGCTGACCCAGACGGATCACTGGAATCCAGTAGTTAAAGACCAGTCTGGGCAACATAGTGAGACCCCATCTCTAAAAAAATGCAAACAAATTGGCCAGGCACAGTGGCTCATGCCTGGAATCCCAGCACTTTGGGAGGCTGAGGCAGGTGGATCACCTAAGGTCAGGAGTTCGAGACTAGCCTGGCCAACATGGTAAAAACCGGTCTCTGCTCAAAATACAAAAATTAGCTGGGCATGATGGCGGGTGCCTGTAATCCTACCTACTTGAGAGGCTGAGGTGGGAGAATCACTTGAACCTGGGAGGCAGAGGTTGCAATGGGCTGAGATTGCACTGCTGCACTCCAGCCTGGGCAACAGAGGGAGAGTTTGTCTCAAAAAAAAAAAAAAATTAGTAGTGATGGCAGGCACTTGTGGTCTTAGCTACTCACAGGAATCAGGTAAGAGGATCACCTGAGCCCAGGGAGGTCAAGGCTTCAGTGAGCTATGATTGTGACACTGCATTGCAGCCTGGGCAACATACCGAGACCCTGTCTCAAAAACAAAGTGACGGAGCATGGTGACTCACACCTGGAATCCAAGCACTTTGGGAGGCTGGAGGGAGTGGATCGCCTGAGGTCAGAAGTTCGAGACCATCCTGGTCAACATGGCGAAACCCCATTGCTACTAAAAATACAAAAAATTAGCCAGGCGTGGTGGCAGGCACCTGTAATCCCAGCTACTCGAGAGGCTGAGGCAGGAGAATCGCTTGAACCTGGATGGCGAAGGTTACAGTGAGCCGAGATCACTCCATTGCACTCCAGCCTGGGCGACAGGAGCAAAACTGTTTAAAAAAAAAAAAAGCGTGGGATGGGGGTGGGCACCATGACTCACACCTGGAATCCCAGCACTTTGGGAGGTCAAGACAGGAGGACTCTTGAGCCCAGGAGTTCAAGACTAGCCTGGGCAGCATAGGGAGCCAGGTGAATAGCTTGAACCTCTAAAAAATTAAAAACAGCTGGGCGTGGTGGCGCACGCCTGTAATCCCAGCACTTTGGGAGGCTGAGGTGGGTGGATCACATGAGGTTGGGACTTCGAAACCACCCCGACCAACATGGAGAAACCCCGTCTTTAAAAAAAAAATTTTTTTTAATTAAAAATATAATAAAAACAAAGCACAACAAACAGGTGGCAGAAATGGATCTTCTCACAGCTCCAGAGGCCAGAATTCCACAATCAAGGTGCTAGTAGAGCCTCACTCCCTCAGAGCCCCTGGGTAGAACCGTTCCTGGCGTGCACAGTTTCCGGCTGTGGGTGGCCTTCCTTGACGTCCCTTGGCTTGTAGACACATCACTCCAATCTTGGCCTGTTGTCACTTGGCTGTCTCTTCCCTGTGTCTGTGTCCAGATTTTATCTTCTTATAAGGAAAGCAATCTTATCGGATTTAAGGCTCACCCTACTTCAGGATGACTTCATCTTAACTAATTATATCTGCAACGACCCTATTTCCAAATACGGTCACATTCAGAGGTTCTGGGGTTCAGATGATTTGCTGAATTTTTTAGGATGTCTTATCTACGCCATTCAATGCAGAAGTCTGGGAAGGCTTGTCAGTAAGCACACACACAGCAAAACGCAGAGCTCCGAGTAATCTAATGGAAAATGGGCACTCTAACAAAATCGTGTACATGAATGTCCACAGCAGCATTACTCACAAGTAAATGTTAGAAACAGCTAAGTGTCCTTGGACAGAAAGACGGGTCAGTACAGAGCGGTTTCGTCCACACCACAGCTGGGCTCGGCCACGAAAAGGAACAGGGCTCTGATACAGGTCACCGCGTGGATGAACCTTGAGGACATCACACTCAGTGAGAGAAGCCAGACACAAAAGGACACACAAGCCAGGCGTGGTGGCTCGCGCCCGTAATCCCAGCACTTTGGGAGGCTGAGGGAGGAGGATCA